GGGGGAGGAGAGGGAGGAGAGGGAGAGGGAGAGAGGGGGAGCACAGAGCACAGAGCCAGTTACACCAGGGTACGATTAGGTGGACACATGGAAAGAGTCAGGTTGGGGATTTTGCTAGGACACCAGGAATGTCCTACTCTTTGCGATACCATGGGATCTTTAATGACCAGTGAGTCAGGAGCTTGGTTTAAATTCTCATCCGAAGGACAGCATCTCATACAGCACAGGTTTAACCCTTAAACCCTTAGTTAGGTCAGGAAAAACAGAATTTGTTTCTTATGTGCCAGAAAGTGGCCTTCGTATGGCTAATTTTCAATCTTAAAACTTCACTTTTGTGTCTGGAGGGTGAACAACAGGTGAACAAATGTTCAGTGTGGTGGAAGTGATCTTTCCTGTTCTGATTGCACTGACCATTTTAAATGTTCTGTTTTTTTTTCCCAGCTCAAATTTAATGAAGGAACCCGTGTGTCTAGGAATGTGCGAGCATATGCTGTGCAGGTAATGTACCCTCAGCTAAATGTCTCTTATTCTGACATGCTCACTAACAATTGTTGGACATTTTTATTTGTCAAACACAGGTGCAACTAATAATGTTAATGGCTCCACTCCACCCAGGTGTTCTACTAGCAGGACTCTGGTATTGTGCTCGCTGGTTCACTAAACCATGTGAAGTGATCATCACTTTCTATTTAACACCTTTCCTGCTACTAAAAATCAAAACGTCCACAGTGAGCTCTTTTTCTTCCCCCTCTCAGGCTAGAGGAGAGGCTTAATTATATTAGGATTAACATATTAATATTAGTAATACTAATCAATTATTGTTATATAATATATATGACAGCACTATTGTTACAGGTATTTCATTAATGTAAGGGATTTGAAAAATAAAGTCATTCTACAGCTCACTTTTTCAGAAATGATGGAATATTATGTAGTTTTTTTTTCCGTCATGGGGATTATTTCTTTGTGCAGATGAAATACTGCATATGTGTGAAAATTGCATGGTTTCTTGGCAATGCATGGTGTTGAAAGCCTTTAAGTCAATTAACGTCCCTATAGACATGAACTATAGTCTCAATTTAGTCCTTCCCTTCATGACTGAACGGTCTTAAAAGGTATATCAACAAGCTCATTGTATTTCTTCTTACTGAACTGTGAAGTGGACTCCTAATCCAAGATGTGTTTATTGCTTAGGTCCTGTGCTGGCCACCGAGCAGGAGATGGCTGTGTGGTGTGTCACAGTCCTGCATGGGTGAAGGACATCCAAATCAACAGGCAGCTCAGCAGCATCATACAGCTCTTCTCCGGTTTGGAGTCCCTGCTCAGTCCCACAGAACAGCCAGGTAACCATCAGCTTAAAAGCATAATTAACAAGTTATCTTCTCAAATCCATGTGTCTTATTCATTATCTCATCTGCCCACACCCCCGTTTATCAATTGTTGGATGAAACATTAAACATTTCTCTCCGCCAATCTAATCTCTGAATGACAGTATTAGTGCCTTGTTCCTGTGGTTTATTATCTTCATCGCCCATCCAGCATCCTGGTAATGACAGTAATTATGCAACGCAATTAACCACGGTAGTGTTTAGTTTGCGAGTAGATCTCGGCTTTGACAAAGAACGACAGGGCAACTTTCTAAGCTGTAGTTAAAATGAGAACAAGTCTGCAGGTTGTTGTGGTGTCGGAATTTACACAGAAATACATAAGGGTTTAAGAAGCTGATTGGGTGCTTCTCTCCTTTTCACAAAAGTCAGTATTATTGATTGGCATGCATAATTTTAAAGTTTGGTCTTATTGGCTTTTCATCTGTTCAGGTAGTGTGTTAGAAAGCATTAAAGAGCCTTTTTGACAGCAATTCACATTGAAAAATTGTAGTACACGCAACAGGGTAACTTTTTATTTTGTTGAACTTTGATTTTCGTTTTGTTTTGTCATACCTCATTGCAGACTCGTCTCTAGCCAGCATTCAAACGCAGCCTGAGAGCCCTGTCTTAAAACACAAGAAAAACTTCAAGATCTGGTTCAGCCCCCGCAGCCGCAAGGTACGCTGCACGGTGGAGAAGCCTTCAGAGGTCACCGTGCCGGAGAACAGGTCTTCTGGAGAAACAGCTGCAGCACAGCTGGACACCATCCCTGCTCAACGTCAGGACCTGTCAGTTTTCAATTTCACCTCCTCCTCCCAAGACTCTGGCTCCTCTTCCTCTCAGAAATGCAAAAATGAAAACAGAAACTGTAAGAAAAGGTCAACGAAGAAAAATGCTCCCAGCAAGAAGGTGCAAGGGGCCATTAGGAAAACACAGAAACAGACCAAGCAGAAGGTAAAGAAAAACAGGCTGGAGGCCATAAACCAGCAATGGAGGATCACGGAGGAGGTAGATGACTTGAAGGAAAAGGAGCAGCCCTGTGCCGAATTGGCAAGGAGGTCCAGTAAGAGGGTTTCCTTCTTAAGTCCTGTTGTCATGGCTGACGAGGTGCAGCCTGAAGTTACACAAGGGAGTGGTAATGAACTCAGCCCTGGCATGAACACCATGAGGGAGAGTCTCTCAGGAGGCACTGTACTGAATGACCCAACCCAGCCTGTTCACAGCACGTCAGACAGTGTCGTGCGGCATGACAAACTGTTCGCAAATGACCCCACCACAGCTGACAATCTGGAAAAACAGGACAAAGCTTCCCCTTCCCCAAAGCATTCCTCAAAAAGATCCAGAGCGGAGGAGAAAGTCGCCACATTGGAGAGCACCCCAAAAAGGCCCAGGACTTCCCCAGGCAGGAGGAGAAAATCACAGATGTCCCCAGCTGTCCTTAACCCTCCATCATCAGCTAGCCCCAGGTGTGACAAGAGCATCAAAAAGTCAAGAGAGGAGAAAGGAGACAGCCCCTCTGTCCTAGCCACTGTTGGTAGAAAATCTCCCTGTACTCGCGGTGCATCTGTTGGACGGCCCACCTCAGGGAGCCCTGCAGTTATGAAGAGAAACCACAAGGGAGAGACCCTGCTGCATCTAGCTGCTATAAAGGTCCATAGATTCCTAATCCATTTTCTGTTGCGTTCCCTTTGCACGACACCCTTGATAAATTGGGTATTTAAGTTATAAGCGTAAGACTAAATTTGTTAAATTTACTTATAAAAGATCAAATTATGTCGTCCCTAAAATTGCTGCTCCGTCTTTTATTATTCAAAAAAAGGCCAAACAAAATTCTAAAGATATGCCAGTTAAAATCAGATTTTGCAGGGTGCGAGCTTTGGACCTTTATTTTTATTATCTTTTTAGTTTCTTTCAAAATGCACCAAAGATAATTCTTCTGGTTTAAATGTCTTCTCTTCGTGTGGGTTTTTTTCCCCCTCAGTTGAACATATTAGTCTTCAGATGATCAGACCGTTATGTTCCGGTCTGTTGAGAATAAACTGTCTTGCAGTAATCCTTGTAAACATAGCAGTAATCCCCCTCTGGATCCCAGACAAGGTAATCAATGGCCCATTGTGGAGTGTGATTGATCAACACCGGGGCTTTGGTACACTGGGATCAGTTGCCGTGTTTGAAGGGTTGCATTTACAGGTTTGTTGTTCTCTCTGGTTCCTGCAGGGAGATGTAGAGGCTGTCAAGGAACTGCTGGACCAGGGGGCTGATCCTAACCTGAAGGATAATGCTGGGTGGACCCCTCTGGTAAGACTAATACACCAAGTGATACGTGTAAAAACTTTATTTGTTGTTTGGAAAAACTGACAGAATGTCTCATCAACAAAACGGTTATTTTTTGGTTTGTCAGATGTTCGTTCACTGTAGTTTTTCTGCTCTGGCCAGCTCTTATTAACTGTAGTGTAATTTCCAGTAAACCAACATGTGCAGTCATTGTGCA